AATATTCGGTACTAGAATGTAAACGTTTAGAAATATCAGGTTTTTTTTCCTGATTTCAAATAAAAATATTTTATTGATTGCTAAACAAAGGATGATTTGATGATATTAATTTTTTGAAAGCCTCACAGATAAAATGTTCCTGACTGACACAGTAAAGTGCTTGGTGCCATAATTCATTACTTCATTTGATCCTGGTTACCTGAATGAAATTTTAGCTTGAAATTTTAGATTAGGGATATATTACCATATTTTATATAGTATATAAATGGGGTTTATCTAAAGGGTCAAGGAGGGAGACAAACACCCCACCACACATCCTCCCTAGGAGCTAAGAGACAAATAAGCAGGAAACAGGAAATATCAAAAAGCCAACAGTTCAACCTTGAGGTACATATATTCTCAATTATTGTTTATTCATGTGTGGCAGGGTCTTATGAATCCATCTGGGGAATGACATATGCATGGCATCTTAGCTAGCAATAGCCTTTGCCAGGAAGGCATAAACTCTAGCCTGAATAAATTAAAGATGAAGAGACTAAAAAGTATGTCTTTCTAAAACCCTTGTTGCTCTTTGTGTTATCTGTAGCTTCCAACCCTTTTGAACAAAAGCAAATTCTCAGATTACCCTACTTCGACCTGCCACACTAGTAGAAGATAAGCAATGTTTATATTTTTCAGTAAAATGTTCCTAAGCCTCTAAAGCAAGTGCTGAGATTTTTAAAATGTAAGATAGGAATTAATTATTCAAAGTATTTTTAATACTTCCTAAATGTAAGATCCAGAAACTAAAGAGGATTGGGATTTTTGAAAGATAATAATGGGAACTGCTGCATGATGTTCTTTTAATTTGGCTCTGTATACAGTCAATGTTTGCTTCATGTGCTTTTTTTGCTTTTTTTATTTCAACAAAAATTAATTAAACTAAGAGGCATTCTTTGCATAATTAGCTGTGAGTTAAACTATGAGCACTGAACATTGTGTTTCATGCTATCAATTTTATTTAGAAATTACATACACAATATTATCCATACAATCTTCACTGTATGAAAAAAACAAACTGTTTTAAATCTTAAAGATGTTGCAAACTACCTAATTTGGAGTACAACATTTTCATCCTCTGCTCACTATGATATCATCTTAAAGATGATCACAAGTCCAGAGAAGTATATTTTTTGCTTAATTTAAGTAATTATCTTTATCATATACTATACTCAAATCTATCCCATTCAGCAGATTTTTTGGGAGGCTAAATGGATGTTGTGGGAAAAGGAGAAGTGGTTTGTAGCAAGTCAAGTTGAATTACCAGAAATCCTATAGAGTGGATCCAGACACAGCTAGTGTCTGAAAGTTGACTTCTTTCAGAATTTGCACTGTGGTTAAAAGATAATATCTTGGGATCCAAACAGTGGTGGGTTGCCCCCGGTTCACACCGGTTCTATAGAACCAGTAGTAAAACCGGCGGGAGGCTCTGCCTATTGACCCCAACATCATCAGAATGCTTCTCCGCATGCACATGGCCCCATTGTGAACCGGTAGTAAAGGTAAGCAGAACCCACCCCTGGATCCAAACCATTTATAAGTTAGGCAAAAAGCAGAGAAAGAAGTAAAAAAAAATGGTGCATTAAATAAAAGTAAATGTTTCAAACCAGATCGTCTGCATCAGCATTTCGTTAAAATGTCCTTCACTGAAACATTCTTGGAGAACTAGATTTCCTGATTTTGTTCATGCTCCATTTAAAAGCCAATTCATTTCTCTTTTTAGATTCAATTACTATCATATGGAATGCAACTTTCATTAATTATGTATCTGCTGCTAGTTTTTAATATAAAATGCTAATAGTTTATGTAATATCACATATAATATTTGATAATAGAATGCATTTTTAAATGCTATCCTCTGGGTTACCTCACTCAGGCTCTGATTCTTAGACTGATTCAATCTGTGTTTTTTGTTATTCTTATACCATAAAGGCAGATGCAGTCTTTGGGTACTTAAGGTCCTATTTGGTTCTTCAATGACTAATCCACACTGCCCTAGGGGAAGGTGGAAGGTAGGGTCCCTCACCCCAAGTTCAAAGCAGTTATCAAAGGAGTGGAAAGCTCAGTTTCCACTCCTAGTCTTTACGTTTCTGCATAGAAAGTGTGGCGGTGTGTGGCGGTGGATACTTTGAACCAGTCAACTATTGGACAAATGACTTCAGAGAGATACTGTATATCCATCTGCTAAGATTTGGAGCTTGGAGTTTCAAATAAATGAGTCCTGTGCCTTTCAGTCTCATACATGCTTTTTCAGAATGAACTATTAGTGCTGTACTGTTCGTTGTTATGCAAATAGTGCTTTATTACATTTTCCTTATTTTTAATTCCCTTTACCAAATATAATAATTTATTTATCAACTCCCTCTCTGCATTCCTTGTCTTTTCTGGTTTGGGTAAAAGCATAAAGAGAGGGAAATAGGGCTTACTTTATTTATTTATCCCTTGTTTGCTATAATGCTGTGCTAATTACACAGAGCTATGGGGAATATTACACTTTTCCAAATACTTTCTTCAGGCGATACACTGAAGAAAGATACACAATAGAAAGGTCTTGGAAAAGAGGGTATTCCACTCACAATTCTTTAGATTTCAGCCATGGTATTTAAGAATTGATGGGACATGGTGGCTCAGTGGCTAAGACGCTGAGCTTGTCAATCGAAAGATTGGCAGTTCAGCGGTTCGAATCCCTAGTGCCGCATAATGGGGTGAGCTCACGTTACTTGTCTTAGCTTCTGCCAACCTAGCAGTCCGAAAGCAAGTAAAACATGCAAGTAGGAAAATAGGGACCATCTTTGGTGGGAAGGTAACAGTGTTCCGTGCACCTTTGGCGTTTAGTCATGCTGGCCACATGACCACGGAGACGTCTTTGGACAGCGCTGGCTCTTTGGCTTTGAAATGGAGATGAGCACCACCCCCTAGAGTTGGAAACAGCTAGCACATATGTGTGAGGGGGACCTTTACCTTTACCTTTACCTTATTTAAGAATATTCCCAATTGAATTTAACAGGTATAACAAATTGATTGGTTAAAAAAAAACTTTGCCTTTTAAAAAATAAATATGTTTATCATTGTCATTTACAATAAACATTTATGGTATACTGTTACAAGGCTTTGGTTATCTCCTAAAATTAGTTGCACACAGCACCAAGCTAATGGACATCAAGATGACAGAAGACAAGCTACAATTCTGCCAAGTATCTGACAAAGATTTAAAATGTATGCTGGCTACATTTCTTAAATCAGTAGTACATCCAACCACAACTGATTTGATAAATCTTGTATTTAAAATCCTTTTAAAGCTATCTTATGAAACACATGTGCTTGTTATACATTGGAACCAAGAGCTAATAGCCCCTTAATTTGCTCTGTGGTGGTACTGGTGGTATTGGTTTTAACAGCACTTAGAAAAAAAAAACCTTTCTTTTTCTGCAATAGATATTGCAATAAGGATCATTCTCCTCCTTCTCCTTTATAGGCTTTTAACTTGTTAAAATAAATAGGAAGGCATTTCCATCTCCTGCATATTAACAGTAATGCATATTACTGTTGCTGTACCAGGAACAAAATCAGTCGCTCTTTAACAGACAAAACGTAAGGAATAACATCACCACACATTATTATAGTTATGCATCTGTATCTTCATGCAACCAAATATTCAGAAAACATTCACCTAATTTACCAAGTGTAATACTGAAAAAGGGTTGAGTGTATCAAGATTGAGTCCGTCTCTAAGAGCCTTTCTCCCCACTGCATGTAAACACAAAGGACTTTTAGACTAATTCTGTCCTTGGCTTCCCTGATGACAATTGAATGCTAACTTAAACACACCCAAACTGACACATCACAGATATTTGGATGGCAGAATCATATTGCAAGTTCAAAGGCCTCCAGCATGGATCATTTAATCTGCAGGTCCTCCAGAACTCCTGACAGTTATTGGGGTTCTTTTCTTTGCCCAAAATAATGCCTTAGAGAGGTTGGAGGACAAGTGGAATTAGGATATATGATACGTGAAGCTTATTTCTTGATCCTTATCTAACTATTCTAATTAAAAAGCAAACCAAAAGATATATGTTCTGACTTCACTTTTGAAATAAAGACACTAGTTAAATGTTTATACATATTTTGTCTTCCATGAGAAAAAAAGACAAAAATTTTAGTCCATTAATTTTAACAAGCATGCTAAACTTTTTCTCTCATCACATAGTTATCAGTGGACTGCTTTCATAAAAGAAAATCAGTTTTCAGAGTGCTTTAAGATATGTATTCTGTACTGACAGTAATGGTTGGAAACAAACAAATAAAAAAAAAGATCATATTTGTCCTGTGACAGTTTTCAATTATTGTAGCTATTTAAAAAAAGAAAGCATCCAAGATGATCTGCTTCGTAGGACATCATCTTACAGTATTTTACAATAGTGTAATAATTTTTACATTTATGCCATGACAATCATGCACTTTTAGTAGTAAATAAAAATCTAAAACATTATGGTACAAAATAAAACATCCATGGTGCAAAGTTTAAATCAAAATTAAATATAGAAGCAATCTAAAAATGAGACAGGAGAAAGAAAAGTTTTACTAGATGGTACAACCTTAACTAAATAATTTTTTTAAAAAAAGTTAAAATATTCCTCCTTGAAGAAATCTTGAGATATTTACATGTGAAATAAACAGCCTTTTCAAAGTTTTAGAACTGCTTGATTTTTCTTAGGAAACTTTGCCTTCTGAGAGCATTTTCTCCATTAAAAAAAAAAAAGCAGAAATACATGAGTATTTGTATAATGTACCATGGAAATCAAATTTACCTTTCATTTTTTCCCCCAAATCCTTTTAAATATGTTGACATTTTTGTGATTTTCTTCCATTGGTGTTAGAGGAATAAAACCATTTGGTCAGATTAGATTAATGTTGTACTGTCTTTAAGTAAATACCGTTGCCAGTTCAAGTGAGAAACTCACCTTAAATATCAAATCCTTTTTCCCATAGCGAAGCTCCTTCAGTTGGGCTTGAATCTTTTTTGACTGTAAGCAGAGGATAATATATTAATCTTTTAAGTAATGTAATACTGCTTCATTTACAGAGTTTTAAATATAAAGTTCAGGCAATAGGAAAATGTATCCTGAGATTTTGCAGAGGAGAGGGAACTGCTGAATTGTTACATTTTTGGGGTACACACATGTTCTGACCTAGGCTTTCCCAGCAGCACGAAGCAGAGTCCCGATAAACCCCTTTTATTTAATGTATACTGAATTTCTCTCCAGCAAAGTCTTTCCTCTCCCACAGTCTTTCAAGATAGTTTACAATTACCAACCTTTATCAGGCTTGGAGAGTGGCCAGGCTGATATCTTTCAGACGCTGCAATACTTAGCAAAAATGCAATGATGAACTAATTGTCTCCTGCAAACTCCACTCCCCTTTCACTCCTCTTTTATTCATTCTGGGAGGGGCCATTCATCGTCCACTTGTGGCCTTACTCACAAGTTGACCTTTGTTCTTTAGCTGTTCCCTTCATCTGGCAACTCTGATCATGTACACAATGGGAACAGGCTCCAGCTGTTCATCTGCATCACTGATGTCTGATTCCAAAGGCAGCTGATAACTGGCATACAGCCCTGGCCCTCTCTCTCCCTCCAATGCAGAGCCCTCATCAGAGCCTTTCTCAGACTCCAGGACTGGCCCATGTTCCTCCCCAACCCCCTCACTGTCCCAATCTGCTGCCAGATCTGCTGGCCATTGGCGGGCCACAACAACACACACATACACTCACACCCACAGTAAACACATAAAGTTCAGGACAGAAAATAATCCCAATATCCCACAGATATAATAAATGACTAGAAACTAATACCTGGGTTAGAACATAAGTCATACATGGGAAGGGAAGCTCATATAAAGAGGCTCTCCCTTTCTTGCCTGTGCCCTTCATCTCCTGGAGGTAACTAAAAGGATCTTCTGCAGGGAACTAGTAGCTGCATTTGTTTTCATCAGGATAAGATTTGTGAAGAAGCACAGAAACTCATTCAGTCCAGGGCATAAGAAGAGCTCCCACACTTGGTTGAGTCAGTCTACCCACATTTTAAAACAATGAAGTAATGCACACTGCTATCTCCAGAAAACAGCCAGATATCATTAAATCAAAGTTAAAAGAACCAAAATGTGCTAATGTTGCTGAGTGAGGAAGATCAATTGTCAATCAATTGTCATACCAAAAAAAAAAAAAAAAATGACTTTCCCCAATTTTGGAACAAAACCCCAAACTTAATTAAACAAAACTAAACTCAAAGTTGTTCACTTACTAGTGGACAAAGTCTTGAAGCAATTCTCCAAAAGAAGTGCTTAAAAATATTTTACTGTCTTTACTTCTTTGTTACCTACATTTAATAGCAAATAAATGAGGCAATGGAATATCAAATGCCAATGAAAGAAGTGTCTTTATGGATCAAGCCTCATTAATGAAATAATTTCAATACAACAGAACTCAACCAGGTTTATAAAGTACCGTTGTTAACCCTATCTTAGTTTAATGACCCCAAATTAGTTTTATGAACATTGCTATTCACTGAACTTGGAACCCCATTAACTTTTTTTTTTGCTTTCTAGTTTTCAGTGACTGCCCTCCCTTCCTTATTTCTCTAAATTAACCAAATCTAGGGAGCTTCCCAGTCCTTCATCATGTGTTCCTGTTTTATGAACTTTACAAAACGTTATTCACAAATTAGATGTCCAATCTAAAATCCAAGGCTTTGACTAAATAAGGAGTGAAAAAAGCAAAGTAATAAAAAAGGAAGTATTAAAATCATCCTTAAGCAGATACAAGAAGCATTGAAAGCCTTTTCAACACACTATGTTCCAAACAGATATTGATGGATAATTATAGCAAGCCGATTTGGTGTAGTGGTTAGTGGTGGTGGGTAATCAAGAATTCTAATACTGCTTAAAATTTTATTAAGTCAGGAAGAGTAGTTGCATAGAAAGATTTGTTAAATGAAAGAGGATAATTGAAATCCAGGAATAAACTGAAAGAGGAAGGAATTGAACTCGAATGGTGGGCATATCTCCAAGTACAATAAAAATACATGGATATTTTGGTGATGTTACACCGTGATAGAAAAACTACTATACATTTGTCTTTTTTTTTTTTTGAACTATAATAAAAAAATATTTAAAAAAGTACATGAAAGATAAGAAAGAATGGGGCATAAAAATAGAGCTAACAGATTTAGATAAAATTTTATTAAGAACAGAGGAGAAGGCAATAAGGAAAATATATCAGTACTTGCTGGAACAGGATATGTTAGAAGAACAAGTAAAAGAAACTATGTTAATTTGGAGTAAACATTTTGGTTATAGCATTGATCTAGACAATTGGCATGATCTATGGGAAAGAAACATAAAAATTACTCTACACAGTAATTTGTAAAGTAACTCTACATACAAAAAAATTTATACAAGATGTTCTATAGGTGGCATCTCCCACCCACAGGACTAGTAAAAATAAGTAAAAAATATCCATCAATGTGTTGGAAGTGTGAGGCAGTGCCAGGGACTTTTTACCACATGTGGTGGGAATGCCCAAAAGCTATAAAATTTTGGCATCAGATAAAACAATAGTTGGAAGAGATATTAACACAAAATATAGAATCAAAACTGGATTATTTTTTTTTACTGGGCATCATAGAAGGCAAATACAGCAAGGGTACAATTTATCTAATGTTACATATTTTAACAGCAGCAAGATTGGCTTTTGCACAAAAATGGAAAAATAAAGAGACCCCCACAGAAGAAGAAGTGTTAGCTAAAATATTAACTTGTGTGGAAATGGCAGACTGACTCTGGAACTTAAAGATAAGAATGAAACAGAGTATTATGAAATCTGGAACAAATTTTATTACTGGCTTGACAGGAAGAGGAATGCTGGGATAAATGATTATTGACGAGTAGAATGTTTAGAAGTGTTTACGCTAGTTTTCTGTGTTAGATAAGATCAAATTTGGTATTGATGTAATTTTCACAGATGTAAGAATCTACATTTTTGAAATGTGATAAATAGTATAAACTTGCATAGAGATAAGGAATTGTATTAATTATAAGGTAAAACTTGACAAAAATGTTTAAACTGGAGACGCCACATCATGTCCAATGTTTTTAATTTGTATTATAATAAAAAACTTTTAAAAAAGAATTCTAATACTGCTTTAGCACAAAACCAGCTGGGTGACCTTGAGCCGATCACTTTTTCTTTCAGGAGGCAATTGTAAACTACTTCTAATATTGTTGCCAAAAGAGTGCATGAATGTGTTCGTGTAATTGCTAGGAAGCAAAACTGAATTGAAGGAATGGAAAGAGGGCGAGGGAAAAGTATGAAGTCTCCCTTGCAAGTTATAGTTCCAAATGGATTAGAAAAAGAAATAGATGATACTTCTGGCTAGGATTTATTGCTTGTATGTTTTCTGTCACTGCATATCACCCAATTAGTATGTAATGTGGGATAGATGTCAACAATTCACAAGAAGCATCCAAAATATCTTTTGAAATTTAATTCATGCAAACAGCCACATGTTCCTGTGGCCACATGAAGGCTATCAGCCCAGTAAGATATTTAATCAAAACTAGTTGCTGTCAGAAGATTTTAGCAATATGCATCTTGTAATTTGAAATGTGCTTATAAAAGAAGTTTGCATAATATTCTGTCTATCTATCTATCTATCTATCTATCTATCTATCTATCTATCTATCTAATCTCTACGCACCAACTCCTATACAAACTATGTGCTCTGTTGCCAAAATCTGTTTCTTCTTCAGTATCTACATAATCACCTCTGGCTAGCTGACATTTCTTTCCATTTCTATTGATAAGTCAATATTTGAAGTATTTTAATTCATGATTAAAGTTCAGCATAATGTCACTACTTTGAAGTTACCCAAGCTGTTTGAAATATATAGCTCATAAAGTGCTTTTTTATCATTAGATTCCAAATGCATCTGTTACACCAAGTTCCTGCTGTGTAGGAGAAATCTAATGCAGATCCTGCTATCTCAAGAAAACTCACAGCCAGGCAGGTTTATTTTTAAACGTATCTTCTATTATAAAATATATTTTCCTTGGAAAGATGATCAGTGAGCAATTCCAGAAAATTGTCACTTCAGGCCTCCATGATAAAACTATGATTTACCTACAGTGAATACTCAGAAGCACAGTTTTATAACTTAATTTTGCAAAAAGGCAAATTCCCTTCCCCCATTTAAATTAAACCATTGTGTTATCTCATTCAGAATTATTAAGGGTCAGTATTTCGGGGATGGAGTAAGGGGATGGTAAAGTATTATATAATCTGTTATGAATTTGGATCTTACTTTGAAGAAGTCACAGGGGAAGGGGTGGCGAGGGGGGGTTAGGGAGGAGGGGGGAGGGGGGAGAAAAAAGGGGGAAAAATCTGTATTTGAAAAACTTTTTCAATTTAAAAAAAAAGAATTATGTTGCAATATATATGTACTGTATGTGTATACATAAACACATATAGTATATTCCAAAGCATTTAACATAAAGGAATCTATTAAAAAATAGTAAAGATATTGTGCCTAAAAGTAAAAGAACATACAGAAGAAAAAAAAACTGGACTAACAGGGACAGTATTCAGGCTATAGGTCAGAATTCCTGACCTTGTTGGCTATATAAACAGGAGAATTGAGAAAGGATAGGTTAATGTATTCAGACAACAAAAGAAAGGAGAGAAAGAAGAAGAGGGCAGTATAAATATTTCATAATTTTGATTAGGAAAAACAATAAAGCACTTGCAGTTATAACATGCTGATATGGATTGCCTTGTTGCTCTGTTGATCAGAACTGGCCAGCAACTATTTTTGGAGGCAACAATAGACAACGTCACCTATCTAGTAATCCCTCAATCATTGTGAAAATGACTTTTTCTTGTTTAATTTTTGAGATACACTTTTCCATTTTAAGATCCTTAAGCTTCCTGTCTGGTTTGAACAATAGACTTCAGTTTGCAGAAGTTCATTGGCTATTTCAGCTGGCCCTTCAACTGAGTTAATGCTTACCTTGTCCCTTTACCTTTCAGAGCTGCCTCTGAATTTTATTCTGAATGCTATAGTAGTTTAACAGAGTCTTGTAAATAGAAAGGTACTGATATGAAACATAGCCAATACCAATAGTTTCCTCCATTTCATCTTCCTCTTTTTTGTTACTTGTGAGCATCCTACTTTTCTCTGTCAATTTTTTAAATAATGAAACTAAGAATCTGGTGCCATACTTTTCTTTGTTTTTCCAATCACTTGAGATAGAATCATTCACTCCTACCTCCCATATAGCTCTCAGATGATTTGGGCTATTTGGGAGTTGGTGATAGAGATTGAAATAATGATGACTACAAGACCAACTAAATGGGAAAACCTTACCATCCCTCCCAAAAAAAATCTGTGTTGCACCTGTTTCTATGTGCATTTCTTTATCTTAACAGAATAACATAATAAAGAAACAGAGTCTTCTATTCCAAGCCCCTGTTCAAGCAACATTCCCTATATTATTCAATATGGCTGTCCAAACTCTTCCTAAAATCCTCCAGTGTTGGTGCACTCACAATTTTGAAGGCAATCTATTCACTGATTTAATTCTCACTGTTAGTAAATTTCTTCTTAGTTAGGTTGGATAAGTTGATGAGTTTCCATTCATTACTTCTTGTCTTGCCCTCAGTTGCTTTGGAGAAAAATTGTCACATTCTTCTTTTTGACAGCTTCTCAAATATTGGAAGAATGCTATTATGTTACCTCTAGTCCTTCTCTTTGCTAGATTAGACATCTCCAGTTCCTGCAACCTTCATCATATGTTTTAGCCACTAGCCCTCTAATCATCCTTGTTGCTCTTTTCTGCCCTTTTTCTAGAACTTATTTTACTTTGTGTATGTGTGCAGAACCTTTCCAGGAGCAGGAAGGTGGGCAGGCACAGCAGCAGCAGAATTATTCAATGGGATGACATGGTAGTCTGCAATCTGGACTAAACTCTTTGAAAGCCCTTTCTAAAGTGTCTCAATCTAAACATGATGTTCCTGAGCCATTTCAGAATGGATCAGCTTGAGCACAGGACAGAGTATTTTCAGTGATGACTGCAAATAAGTTCAGTGGTATAAAAAGCAATGAATGGTGAAGGGTTTTTGCTATGTTTTAAGTAGAATGGGCAAATTCCACAAATGACTGAGTGAACATTTGTCTTGATTTGGGGATAGTGGTACCTCTCCCCATTCCACATATGGAAAAAAAAGAAGAGTAGTGATTGAGTAATAACTTTGAATGGGTAACAGATGAAAGTCCTCCAGTACACCTGAGGGAAATAAGCTGTTTTAAGCAATTCAGCCTGTGCTGTATGAAATGCTCAATTTATCTTCTGCCAGTAGAGAATAGTGAGGTGCCTCAGAACAACATCTCTAAGGGATTTTAACCATTCCTATCAGCATTTATTTACATAGTTATGTTACTATGTTTAATGGTTGTTCAGCTTTGGGAATCAATTTAATTTGATCTTTTAGGAATGGAAAGTAGAAGCCCTCTACCTCCTAGAGAAAGATGTGCATGTCATTTTCCAATAAATTATTTCGGATTAGGTTGAAACAGTGGTTCTGAAACAGTGTCCTCTCTTTTCTAGCAATTATTATGGATGGATGGTAGTGGCAATAAATTGGGATCAAATTGTGTTATTGTTCACAGAAGCAATAGTTTCCTTGGAGCATATGGATATTGCTTGTTGGGGTTTTTTTTTGTTCTTATAGCTTTGTGTGTAGAAAAAATGCAAGCACAACTGAATTCCTTATGCGAACAGCTGCAGAGAAAGTTAAATTGAATCTGAAGTAATACATTATGCTCAGCATTACCTTTATTTATTACTGTATTACAAGGTTTACGAGTTTACCTGGTTAGTCTGACAAAATTTTGCTTTAATTTTGGCATATGTTTAAATAGAAAGTCTTGTATTGATTATTACCCATCATTGCCTGTTGTCTAATAAATCCATGCCAATTATTAGCATTGTCATATATTATATGCAATTAATTGCCTTTATAGCATGAAGTAGATCTTTCAAAGCACTTCCATAGAATCTTAAGATGTTGGAAAGCTTACTAGTAACTCTAGTAAAAAATAAATATCACCAAGCAAGCTGTATCTAAATAAAGCTCATCTGTGGCTACTGATATTTTTCTGTAGCACATATTATATTATATTCTAGAGAATTTCAGTTGACAAGGTGATAGCAAGGTATCACATGGACCTTCATGAATTCTGCATATTCTAGAATGTGACTCAATTCACTTATAAAATCTTTTAGTGCAGTGGAAGAAGCAGGATTCCTTGAAGTTAAAAAGTTTGAAATCCATTGACATAAATAAAAATCTTCTTTAGCTGATGATAATATTTTGAAACATGAGAACAAATATAAGTAAAGGTGCGCTTGGAAAATGTAACTCCCACAATGTATACTAGGATGGATTGCCTCCAGTAGTTATTTGTGCAAATCTATTGCATCATAATATATTCTCTGGAGAATTCCTAAAGATAGAAGCATGTTCATTAACCATTTCCCCAGATCAGCAATCCTGACACAATGCAAAAGCCAAAGTTAATTGCTAAAGTCAACTATTCAGTCAATCACAGTCAAAATAACCAAGAGTTGATTACACTAAGGACTCAAGCCCATTGGTTGTACTGGAGACTATGCAAGCAAGCATATGACATTGGATGAATATGTGAAAATAATCCAAGGTTATGCTATGATTATCTGAGATAGTAATCTGGAAAGAGTTATTCTTCGTTTTATTGGCTATATTATAGCAGGATCATGCAAAAGCTATAGCAGTAGGACCAGGAATGGCTATTTGAAATGCATTTCATCTACTAGCCTTGTTCCAGCACAAAGCTTTCTGCCTAAAACATGGCACTAAATTATTTGAAATGTTGAAGGTATCTGTCCTCTTTTCTTTTAATAAGAAATAGCATTATTTATGTGATCACACAGATCATGTCTATTCTGCATGGAAACAAAAATTAAGTTTATTTGCAACCCTTGAAAAATATAGCAATAGTTAATAGAGATTTCAAATTATATATTGTGTTTTTTAATAACTGTGAAAATACTATTTACCCATTATTATTATTATTATTATTATTATTATTATTATTATTATTATTATTATTATTTATAAAATTTGTATGCCGCTCTGTCTCCAAGGACTCAACTCGAAAGGTTACATGTTTTTAGATAAAATTGCTGATCTCAGAAATGTATACCAGATCAGTGTCTGGGTTTAATTTTTTTAAACAACTTATTGTCAAAGCCAGACATAAATGGATTCCTAGAAGCCTCTAAATGAATGATAAACATATACATAAATCATTGTGAACATTGGAGGGGAGGAGACAGCTATCTCTATAACAAGGGGTCCACAATGTGTAGGCTGCCCAGTGTGACTCCAAGGCAAGGTAGTAAACAAGGAAATAAATTTCATAATATTATGAAAAAGAAATAAGATTTGATACTACCTAACACTATGAAAAATCTTATATAGACAATGAATCTGACAACAATTTAGTACTGAACACTTTCTACATTTCTTCATTTCATTCCATATCAATTTTGTAAAATTATTTGTCGATTGCCCAAATGATGTAGCAGACCAGAGCTGCCTTATAACTAGTACTACTATACTACTACTTTCAATTAAGAATATTAAAAACTATGTTGACATAACTAGTTCCTTACATTCTTTAATTTGTGACCTGTAACAATAGATTTCTTTTGTTATCACTGCGGGTCAAATCTTTCATGAAATTCTGGTTTTCCTCCTTTGCATTGATTTGATGTGAGAGCTCTGGAAATAAAACTAATGGGAAAAATCCAGTGAATGCAAATGGGATTAATGTCTATTTCATAGCCAAACTGTGAGAGAATAACTTCTTGAAATTCAATGAAAGTGCCATCCCTTTTAGAACAGCAGTTGTTCCTAAGTAATTAAAATTTGTATTCAATTCAATTGTTTGTTCTGGATTCAGGAATATACAGGAAGAAATGGTCCATTTTTCAAACATACTAGAATATTTTATCCCCACTTCCACCCTATGCCTGGCCATAATGGGCTAAATAGCACAATTAGATAAATATATAGCATATAGCTATCAACCATTTTGTTGGGACCAGGCAGTCCAAATCCTGAATTATAGTTTACTGAGAAAAGGAGACATTGTTTAGAAAAAGTAATCCATGCCCTGCTCAGATTCTTTTGTTGCTAGTAGGCTTTCAACTTGGTTGGCACAATTTTTTTTCTTTAATCTCTCACTCTTGGAATGAATGTGAATTTTTGGAATGTAAGATGCATTGTTTGCTATCAAGCAGATCTTCCAGAATGCCTTGGAATTGCTCATAAAATATTCAGAATGCATAGGACAATTTGCTGAGGGAAAATGTTTTATTTAGCTGTCCTTATAATAGTCAGAATAACACTTTTTGTATAATTTTTTTTTCTTACCTCTTCTGCGTGAATTCCACAAAGCTTATTTCCTGACAGGAGTTTATTTTTCAGGCTTTTGTTCTAGGAAAAGGAGATAAATATTTTGATATTAGTAATGTGAAATCAAATATTCAGTAACTAATAAGCGTAATAGGTCAGATGTTATTTCAAGTTGGCTATGAGAAAGTGTATCTACCTAATAATTTACTACATATCTGAAATCTAAATTGATAATGTTACAAGTAGCATTATACATTTAAGATCACTTATGGCATAGAAGAACATGCTCTTGTTTTGGACAAGTCTCAGGCGACAGTGGCATCAGATTATCTTGTCTAGTTTGAGAAGCAAAGAAAGATGGGGTCTGGTTGGAAGACTTCCATGAAACACCAGGAAAATAGTCTAGATAGTGAAGTAAAAATAAACAAACAAACCTGGAAAAATTTATTTCTATTAATAGATACATTTATTAATTTATCTATTGCTCTCAAGAACACCACATAGATGTATCTACAGAGCCACCAGAAAGTCAGCTTGACTTGAAATAATCTTTATTTTTTATCTTTCCTTAAAATATAATCCCTTAAGGAACAAACTAGGTCTTTGGAATAGATTTGATGTGGGATTATAAAAGGGATAATAGTGGAATCCTGCCCCATCTTTCACTGAGTGGTTTAACAAAACCCTAATCCTTATTCAACTTTTACTTTAATTCTTCAAAATAAAGGATTTTTTTTCTTTTTTTAAAAAAAGACTTAAATTGATTGATAAGTATCTCATTGAATAATTTCTAAATTATTTTCATTATTTTTCCAACACTGTATTCAGTTGTTACTAATGCTCTACTCTATTAGAGACATACAAAAGAATGTGATCCACCTGACCTCCATGTGCTGAAAACACAATTGATGGGATTCTACCATTCAGTCCTTTTACATAAAAGGATCCACACTCTGGCTAGGGTACATCATCTATCATTTCATGGGAGTACTCAGGAGCCCAATGGAAGGAGTGGTGGAGTGGCCTAGAGGTGGAGCTCTCGCCTCACAATCAGGAGGCTATGAGTTTGATCCTAGGTAGAGGCAGATATTTCTCTCTCTGGGCACAATGAGAATATATCTGCTGAATTAAACTCTACATTGGTGACAGGAAGGGCATCTGGCCAGTAAACGCTCTGCTAGCTATATTCATTTGCCCAGACTCCACCCTCGAAGGGATTATGGGGTTGTAAAAAGAAGATAATGACTCAGAAACCCAATATAATTCCATATTTTCTTCATAAGATGTTTCTGTTTCTATCTTATTTTATTCATTAGATATATATCCTGCCTTTTCTCTGAAAGTTCAAGATGGCCTACATTCCTTCCTCCAATTTTTCCCTCAGTGGGAAAAATCCTGTGGGTAAAACTTGAGCTGAGTGATAAAGAATCACTGAGACAAAGTTACCTAGTAAACTTCTATGCCCAGGAGTATAGTTGACCAGACTTGACTAGTTCTTCCTCATCTTAAACCAATGAGGAATCTCAGACTAATGAGATTTACTTGTGGATAAGCTTTATATATAGCTCTCCTTATCTTCATATGACTGTTTCATATAGCTTCTGAATGTGGCTTCCAGTAAAGACTAGAATGCAATTGTTAAGTAAAGACTGGGGAATATTTCAACATTTTTACGTCAATATTATTGGTGCACAATAACTTTGGCATGGAGAATTAACATACAAAGATCCTTCCACATGGCCACTACCTTTCAATTTTTACAAAATAAGTGGCTTCGAGACAAACACACATAAGGTAACACAAAAGCTACTGCCACATGATGCAAAAGGTCTGTTGGCTTTATCTTCAAGATACACCCGACTTAAAAATCTTAATTATATTTATTAGTGTACAATAATATACTAACAATGTAACAATGTTCACCTATAAACAGGAATAGACACACTTTTAGTTCATGGCATTTGAATCAAAACATCTATGGAAAATTTTCCAAATACTTGTAACAACAGTTATGCCAAACTCCTTAATTTTTTTCATACCTACATTTTCTATCTTCATTATTATACCGAAACTCTTTACCATCTATATTTAATTGCATGTGGGTATTAAGAAGCCTTGTTTTTTAAAAAAACAAACAAACACTAAAGTGGTTTCTAATGGATCTTATATATTTTTAAATATCATACTATTCCATAGAGAGGAGCTTACATAATGAACATTACATTTTTTTAAAAAAAAACTATTAACATTTATAACATTAATGTGCTGAACATATGTAACAAATGCAGGCTGATCCTTTCAAGTAAACTGCCAGGCCTACTGCAAAAGTCTTTTCAGAGTCAAATTCAGATTCCCCATTTATTCCTGTTCTGGTTCAAATGTACTAATAATGTAATATCCAGAGAGTGATATAATGATGCAGCATAGAAGCCCTTTCAAAAATATCATCTTTAAGTGGGGAAACTGGAGGGGGAAGTCATCAAGTTGTTTTTTCCCCTCCAAGTGGGATGAAACATTGGTGTCTTTGAATATAAACAAGAATTTACACTCTTCCATGAGAAAAGGACATTTTTAGTTCTACATGCAAGTCACATACAAAAGAAGATTATGCACTTTGTAATATTGCCAGTGCTAATTAGCTAAACTCCCTTTTGGTATTCAGTGCAGTACCTCTCTTAAAAATATGTGCCAAAGTACAACATACTAAACCAGTGTTTCTCAACCTCGATGGCTTTTAAATGGGTAGACTAAATATTTCAGAATTCCCTGGCCAGCATGTTGCTGAGGTTGAGAAGCACTGTACACACAGGTAATCCTGGTAATACTATATACGTGGATTTTCAAAAAGTCTTGGATAACCTTCCTTATGAAAAGCTCTTGAACAAATATAGCAATCAGTGGATAAGGTGCCATGTGTTTTTACTGGTTTTTTAAAAAAGGATAATTTTCTCAATAGTGGGAAGGCTTGTGGGGATGGTTGCTTTCTCAGTGGCTGGCAAACCACGCTGAGGAATGCAACTTCAGCATAATGATCCTATCTCAGGAAGTGTGAGACATGAGATTTAGCACGTAGGCAGATCACATTGTTTGCAGCAGGAAAGCATGAGCTGTCCACATGGATATCATGAGCTTTGTTTAGCCAATTCGGATAAGTGAATCTTTATCAATGAATCAACTTCTGCCATGGAGACTGTGGATAACAATAAAAGGGAGCTCCCAGAAGCTGTTCGGGGTGCCTTCCCATTAACCTTCTTCCTGGCTGTGCGGTTTTCTTTATCACAACAACAAAGGCTGTATTGGGATTATACATTAATCACATTCATAAAGGCTCAGGACTTAGGGGTACACAGTTTGCAGAAGATTCTAAATTATTCTGAGTGGTAAAAGTCAGATATGATTGTGAAGAGCTAAAGAAAGATCTCTTCAAGCTGGAGAATGGTCAACCCAATGGCAAATGTGATTTAATTTAAGTGCAAAGCAGTGGTGAAATTCAGCTGGTTCTGTTCAGATCGCTCGATCCAGTAACGCCGGAGGTGGGAGGTTCTGCCCACCAGGGGTGGGTTCTACTTACTTTTCTACTGGTTCACAATGGGATTGCACTTGTGTGCTTGCTTCACGCGCACGCGCACGCCTTAGTTCTGTGCATGCACAGATCACCGATGATGACATCCAGGGCAATGGGCAGGGCTTCCCACTGGTTTTACTACCGGTTCTTGCGAACCGGTCCAAACTGAGGGAAAACCACCACTGCTCCCCACCCACCCAAATGTCATCATGTCCCGTTTTTTACCCTCTGCTCATGCGCAGAATGCTCTGTGCATATGTGGAGGAGGCACACTCTCACATTTGTGAACTGGTAGCGAAGATAAGTGAATTCTACCCCATGCAAAGTGATACACATTGGAATAACAAACAAATGCCCTATGAGATAGAGAGAAGAGAAGAGAGGAGAGAGAGAAAGACAGAGAGAGACAGAGACAGAGAGATAAGCAAGAGATGAGAGAGAGGTGGAAGAATGTGAGAATATAATCAGGAATTTGTTTGCAGTTCCAAAATTGCCATAGATAATTTTTCCCGAACTGCTACTCTCCAGATGAACTGAATTACTGAATCATTGTCTATATGACTACTATTGTTGGGAGAAGGGGTTTGTTTTGTTTTGCTTTGCTTTATATAAAAGATGCTGATAATGGAAAGCTTTTCTTAAAGGAGGCAAAAATTATTTCAACAGATCCTCTGAGAAAGAAACCTTAAAAGGGACTGAAATCTATCTTTCTCTATAGGAAAAAGAAGTATTACCACAGTGTGTGTGTGTGCTGGGGAACTCCTTTACTTTTCACACTGCCTCCAAACATATTTTTAAATGAAATATGTGAAATATCAACCAGCAGTAAACAATATGAAAACCTGGTCCCTAAGCATTTGAATCTTTTACTTAAGGATTGTGCAATATCAGTACAAATTTATTGCTAGCTAGTAATAGCATTCTGCAAAATATATGCCCAGGAAACATGATGCCAATTGAATCAGAATATTAATTGCACTCAATAGACAGATTTAAGTCCATATCCTAATGGAAAGTTTTATTTGTAAATTAGACACTTCTTTATCCAAATAAATGAGCTAAATAGAGCCAATGGAAAAAGAAATAATTCCCAGGCACTGTTTACATTTGAATTTCCCTCATGTGTCTTTTTGCAGAATTTCTGGGCAATGACAGCATCCAGCATCTTGTTTCACACACATTTTAACTTGTTCTCGTCTACTACCCAGTGAAAGTGGCTCCTTCTGCAATGATAAATTGTTCCAAACTGCTTTTTCCAGGTGTGTGTGCCACTGTGAGGCAATGAAGAGTAACCAGGGGATTACAATACAGAGAACTTAATGTGTATATTCCTATCACAACTTTTGTTTTCAAAGCATTCAGGGAAAACAGAAAGTTATTTTGCCATGTGCTAATTGAGTTTGTCTCTGATCAAGGCACCTGTAAAAATTGGTATTTCAGCATTGCTTTTAAGCAGAATACGAGATTTCTCAAAAATTCCTTTTATTCTTGTGTTCATTTTACTGGGACTGTTTTT